GCAGACAGCAAGAGCTGGGCAGCACCCGTCCTTACCGCTGCAACCCATAGGAGAAGACAGCCATCAGCTTCTGCAAACAGGTCCCTCTTCTACTGCGTAATGCTGCGTGGTAGGTGAAAGAAAACTCTTAAATCCATTAGAAAGTCTTCGTTAGGCAGCGTTGGCTGCGATCCACGTGCTTGATAGCTTGGTCCCTTCCTGGGCTGTGCTGAACGGCTTTGCTGTTCTGGGCTGTCTAATGCTGCCAAGTGAGAATTTCAGCCATCTATTGGGTCCTCCTTCCCCTCTTCTCTGTCATACCTTGCTGAAAAATGTGAACTGGATTTTCTGGCTGTTGCTTACCAACAAAGTTGCTGCTTTTGAGGTAGCTGTAGGAGTACAGGTCCTTCTGGAACTGCTCTTTTAGTATGAATCTGAAGTATTGGCCACAGTTGCCAATAAAAAGGTTTCAAGTGCTTCAAAATGCTTCAAGTGCATTAGCTAGTAACCCACTTATACACCTTAATCCCTAACCTTAAAATGATGATGTGGTGTTACTGTTAACCTTTTTTGCAATGCAACAGTTTCAGGTGAGTGCCATTTTCTTTAGCAGGATGTGCAGTTCAGGAGCAGTCAATAATAAATATGCAAGGGGCTTGGGAGGTGAAGGGTAGACCAAAGCTCCAAAATCATCTCTTCTGCACAAGAGACTTAAAAGGAAATCTCTCCAGGTACAGAATACTAAAGGCGTCCCTGCCATTTCCAGACATTCAGATATACAGCGGTTGTTACATGAGAAACCTATAAGCAGATATACCTATAGCTCTGACCTTGGCCTGGAAAGACCCGCAGCCTGAAACCCTCCTGGAAGAAGCAGGATTCCTGTTGTAGCTCTGACTTGCTCTGGTGCATGGATATGATCAAGCCCCGTTTCTGTAAATATGTGTGCGATGCCTGAAAGCCGGTGGCCTGATTTCTCTGCCCTGTCTGTGCACCTGGCTGCTTCCTTTGGAAGCCAGCTTGCAGGTGTAGGTTCTCGCTATTCTTAAAATTGGCTCGTACGTCCTGCTAATGGACTTGGATCTTTTATTTCTAGAGCCATTTCTGTATGAGGAGTGTGGCAAGAAGCTGCTGTTCTTTGTGCTCTTTCTCTATCCCTTTCCACTTCCCTCATCCTCCTGCTGATTGAGTGTTTCGCAGTCCCGTTCTCCGCATGCAAAACTGTGAGTGCTGAAGCCAATTAGCAGCGGAAGGTGTAATAAATGCAGAGAAATTCAAATTAGGGTGGCATTTTTCACACCTTTTCTGATTTAAATGTGGAATGACTACCTGGGGGAAGTTAGACATTCTTGATTACGTTGCACCTTTCTGGACTAAATCCTGGGTATGGTCAAAAGCTGGGCTCAGTAAACTGTGGTCTGTTTTAACTGAGGCAATCGGACCAGATGACGTATTAGTTGTTTAGAAAATAAAGCTTTGCACTCTCTTTCGAATGGATGTGGATCATCAAATTTTGCTTCTCTGATGGCAAAGTCACTTACTCTAGATTGCTGTGTAAAAATTGCTGTATGTACCCTGATTAAATCAATACTTGTTTTCTCTGGAGAGAAGCATGCTGCTTTTACTAGTAGCAAAATTGTCATGCTTTAATCTGCAGTCAGTGGGAGTTTAATAATAAAGTAACCAAATTGGTAGGTGTATTTGCAGACAAAATAAGTTAAATGATTTTGCACAGCTTCCATGTGTGGTGTCATCAGCTGAAGTTTGCAGGAGTTAAAGGTAGGGGAGAGAAGGACATGAGGATGTAATTTTCCTACGACTTGTGACAACTGTGCAAATGTTGCAGGCTTCCTCTTCCTTGGATGCGGCTCCACCTGGCATACTCGTCTCTTGCTGCTCCATTTGGAAGATGCTCCGGGCCATATTTCCGTCAGGTCCCTATGTGTTGATGTTGCAGTCCTGTATCAGAAAGCATTAACTTAGTTTTTATTTTTTTGGTTAGATTCTAAATTTCTCTTCGTTTGAGCTCTCGGCATGATTTAACTACGTTCTCCATTGCATAGACTGTAATTTTCTTTGCCAGTTGGCCCTGGTTGCTTGTAAGCAAAATAGCATGATGTACATATTCTAGCAAGGGTGCTCCAGGAGTAACTTTGTTAATTAGCACAGGATCCAGACTAGAGGAAAGGTACCTAGCCCAAAACTTTGCTAATGAGACATTAGCAGTTGGTCGGAAGAGGTACCAGTCCCACTTCAGCTGAAGCAAAGATTTAGAAGAAGGAGGTCCTTGAATTTAGTGGATCTGCTTTTTATTTTTTATAAAGTTTAATTGATCTATTTTTGCTGCTCAGCTTGTGTTTCTTTCTGCTGAGCGTAGTACTGTAAACAGAGATGCAGTACCCTGCTGGCCTCCAGGCCTGGTGGGAAGAGCTGTGGGAAGGGAACTGAACCCCTGGAGAGGAGGGGAAGCTTCTGACGGACGACCTCTGACTTTCTCATTTGGGATGGTGGGGTGGGGAAAGTCTTGTGATTCCCAAAAATGTTTCATGATTACTGAGACTCTGTAATAAAAAAAAAAAAAAAAGAAATTGTTTTGTTTGTTTAATGTTTTCTCTGGATTTTATCTGTGGTCCATGGAAATATTGTACAGAAATTAAATAAGTCCAAACCTGATCTCTCCAATGATTTTAAAAAGCATAATGTGTTAAGAAAGTAGGAATTGTGGAAGCGGTGCTGGTTATGGGTCCCTTATTTCTTACTGGCTCCATTGTGGGTTATAAGGGGGGGGGGGAAATCAGTAGAGAGAAGTCTTTCTTTTTTCAACATAGGCATCCTTTGGGCTAAAGATAGCACAGCAAGATGTGCAGATTTGTTCCTCAGAAATGAGACAAATGTGGTTAGGGTAGAACAATAAGGCTACCGCTGCGGGTTTAGGAGTTCTTAAAAATGACTTGTAATTTGAGATCCTCAACTTGAAGCAGCTTAAGGGAGAGAGTCAGGGTTATTTCTGTGTCTGAATCTGAGCGCTACGAAGAAATGAGGCCCTCCAGAACTACAAGGGTTTTAAAACCCTCTCTGGCAGGAGTGAGCAGCATCTGTATGGCTTGCTGTATCCCAGGGCCATGTCCCATTTTTCTGAATTTGAATATCCATTTTGCAGCCTGGTTATAGTTTTTAAGAAAAGTAAATGAAGTCTTGACACTTTTTTTCCTTCTTTCTTTCTTTCTTTCTTTATTTTTCCTCCTTCTTTCTGTTGCACCTTTTTGCAACTTCTCTGGGGCTGCTATGCGTTAGTTCTGCTACTAAAAGTCAGTGGGGCTTCCTTGGAAAACCCGATCCGTCTAGTTCCTATGACAAACTATGGTGTGTAAAACTATGGGTTTTGCATGCTAAGAGAGATTTTTGTTTGTTTGTTTGTTTTGTTTAACAGCTCTGGTGCTGACAGGCATGTTATTTGCATGGGTAACTCTTCTGTGGCTGTTTTGGAAGATGGGCTGTAATGGGTGCCATGAAAGCTGTTTGATAACAAATGGGGAGGGTTATACTTTGGACACAGCAGCGTTGTTTGATCACTTGCTCTTTTTCAATCTTTTCTTAGTAAAAATAAATCCCAGTTTTACTAAAAGCTTCAGTGGGCCTTTTGACTGTGGTGTTTGATTTGTTAACAGCTTGTAAGCACCAGTCGTTGCAAGACTGGAGTTGTCAAATGCAACCTATTTTAACACTAAATCTCACCCAAATGTGGCTGTCTTGCTTGTTACATTTTGCATGGTGGGGAGGAACTCATTTAAGTGCCAAATAACCATTAGTAATAATTGACTGTACAAGCATGTCAAATGTAACTATATAGGTATTGTTGATCTGGTGGTTTCTGGCAGCTTGTAAAGAATGGGATTCACCAAAGGGCTCAAACTTTTAAAATGAGAATTCTTTGGGATGTGACTAGCTTTTTACGGTGAGTAACTACAACTCTTGGTGTTGTGGGACTTCTGAAGACTACAGCAGCACCGAATCATAACTTACTATTGAGCTGATCCTTTAGAAATCCTTAAGCATAAAAGAAACATGTGCTGTAATGTAAGGTAACGGAGAGCAAATGAAGTGCTGTTAGGTTGTGGCATCGACAGTGTCGTTGTGCTTCCCTTTTTACCGTTGTGCAGCACTTCTTGGCTACTTGGATCTGTGCGACTCTTTGTTCTGGTTCATTCTGATCTCTGGCAGCCAGGTGCGAAACTTTGATGCCTATATACCTCCATCCTATCAGCTTCCTATTTTTGTCGAGGACTAAAAATGTAAAACCCATATATTTTGATGCATTGGTAACAGAGATGAAAGGCTTTCATCCTAAACAAGTCAAGTATGTCCTGGGAGTCCTGACTTTACTAATAGCAATGAGTACAAAATGAATTGTGGTGGGTTTTTTTTTGTGTGTTCCCCCCCTGCCCCCCGCTTTGTTCTTCTGTCCTTTTTTAAAAGCACTAACATCAAACCATGTGTGGGAGATGGGTTTCTTCTGCTTCTTGCACAAATCGGCTTTGTAACGTAACTTAGATGCTTCAAAACTTGGGAAGCCTTTTAAGTTTAGGTCTTTAGTAATTCGGTGGGTGATCTGTAGCTCTGATTTCTGTCCAAGTCAACGTTGCTGTTTATACTCCAGCTTTCTTCTTCATAATGGAAATTATGAAGAAGATTATGGGCAATGAAGGATACTCTGGCAGGACAAGTAACCGCTGTAATTGCTTGTTTTTATGGAGATGTTAAATGTTAACTTTGCTTCCATCAATTGAAGATTTGCCCCCTTGGATTCCTTTTAGTTCCCAGAAATAACTGTCCAGGCAGAGTTGGAAGCTCTGGAGCTAAGCACATGTAAGGGGTGCTCCCACCGTGCTCTGTTGGTAGCTGCTGAGTGCCCTCCCTCTTCTGACTGTACTCTGAAGGCAGATGGAGGCAGGGACAGGGTCGGAAGCAAGGACCAAGAGGTGTCTTTGTTAATAAATAGGATGATTTTATGTCTTCCACAGGTGGATTTGCGATAGTGTTTCTTGTGAGGACTAACAATGGGATGAAATGTGCCCTGAAGCGAATGTACGTCAATAATGAGTATGACTTGCAAGTCTGCAAAAGAGAAATCCAAATCATGGTAAGTCACCACTTTGTATTGGGGCCCCAGACTGGGAGTGGAATGGTGTGAGAGCCTGGTCACCTTCTGCCTGTGATCTGTGTAGCATCATGTTGCAAACTGTGGGTTTTCGTAGGTCTTTCCAAAAGAAAGACAGTTTTGCTAACTCCTGGAGTTATGCGACTATATGAAAATCTTGTATTGAATTATTTAAAATGTAAATAGTTTCAGTGGACAAGAAAAACGTGGGAGCTGAAAAAGCAGAGGGAATCTCAGGAAAATGAGGGGAGGAAAAAACTCCTATGTCAACCCCATGACTTAATGGGAAAGGGAAGAGCTGAAGAGGTGAGCATTGTTGGGGGTGTTAGACTTCAAAGCCTAACAATCTTCAGGGCTGAAGTCTTCAGCCTTTTAGACTTCATCAGAAAGGGCTGATGATTCTGATGTCACTGTCTCCGAACTCAAATCAGTGCATGAATGGAAGACCTCCATCCTGAGATGAATTTGTATCACAACAGCTTCTAATCTTTTGGGTTGGGATGAAGGCTATCTCTGTGTTGGTGAGGTTGATAGATTAAAAACCATATTTGTGGGGTTTTGAAACAGGGGAGTGTTTATAATAAGCACAGATGTTTCTCTAGATTATTGGATGCAAGGAGTTATATGATAGGATAGCTATTTTTAATAGCTGTTTTAAAGTTAGCGTCTCTAAGCAAAGAAGAAATTGAGATGATCCAAATAGATTTGCTTAGTCTTGTTTGGAGCCTGGTACACGTGGGAAGTGCCACTTTTGAAGTTGTATTCAAAGATATCGATGATCATTTAAAGGAACTGCAAGGTGGGGAAGGAAATATAAAATCTTCATTCTGCTAACTTACAACATGAGGTATAGGTTTGGGGTAAATGATCTTCATATCAGAAGCTTTTACCTGTAGCAATTCTGGGTGTTTTTTGAAGTAGCCTTTAGTTAGGTTAATACGTTTAAAGTTAACTTCTGGAGTTTGTGCGATAGTGCAGTGAAGCTTTTGGGCATGCTTTGTCATCACCGTAGCTAATGCTACATGGGAAAAGTTGAGATTAGATCTTACATCAAAGGTTTTAGCTGTGCTCACAAAGCTTGTTTACTTGGATTTTACTTGCTGGTGCTTTCCAGTTGTCTCCGTGTCTTTGTACCTCTTTGAAATGTGTGGCTAACCTGGAAACAGAGCGAGAAATATCCTTCTTACTCAGCAGGTCCGCTTGCTCCTGTACTGAATCTTATCATAAGCACTAATCTTTGTCCTGAAGAACCAGTACGTCACTAAAAGGAAATATTTTCTTCTTTCCTAGCTTTTGGGCAATAAAGAAGTGTTTTAAACTTAACTGCACTTTTTGCAACCGTACAGCATTACAGCAGAATGTGGCCAGCAGAATCTTGATTTCTTTTACTGGTGAAGCTGAACATGGAGCTGGACTGGCTATCACACCTGGGAGAGTGTGTGAAGCTGGCAGTCCCAAAGACATGACTTTTCCCTGCAGGTTTAGCATATGTCATGGATAAGTCATTGATATGAGAACTTGTGCTTTAATCCATCGAGTTACTTAAAATAAGGTACTTCTAAAAGCAAGGTTAAAATTCATTTTATTACCTTAGTGGTTTTTCTTGAGCATGTGAAGATCTGAAATACTATTTGCCAGCAGAAGAGTGGAAGGAGATGAGAAAAGTAAGCACAACATGTACTGTGTGTGGCCACGACAAAACATCTGCCTTGTTCTCCCCTCTACGTAAAGGAGGAGCAGCTCCAGGTAGCTGGGCTTGGGCCATCTAAGGGAACATGCAAAAATCTGGACCGAACCCTGAACAAGTTAGTTCATCAGATTAGCTGTTTCCCTGCTGTTTGTCTCAAATCCTTCTGGGAAGAAAATGGGCAGAGACAGACCTCAGGTTTGTTCAAGTTTTGCATGACGATTAATCCAAAGTGACAGAAGCTTGTGCCTATATAGAGGAAGAGTTAGGAAAGCTGCTCAGTGTAGAGGAGCCAGATTAAAATGTTGCTCACTCTATATGGCTGGTTTATGCTTCGAATTTATTTATCTTACAGCGGGACCTATCTGGCCACAAGAACATTGTCGGATACATTGATTCCAGTATAAACTCAGTAAGCAGCGGCGACGTGTGGGAAGTGCTGATACTAATGGACTTCTGTCGAGGTGAGTGTGGGCTCAACGTATTGTTCATTGGTAGATTTGTCCCTTTTTGGCGCTTACAGGAAACTTGCACAACATCTTCCTTTAAAAAAACCAAACCTGTTCCAAGGCCTGGACTTTCCTTGGCTACCAAAGAACCGTTCTGAACAAAGCAAACCCAAAACTAAGTGTGGAGAAGTTGGTGATTTGTGAGGCTATGTTGACTGTGTTAATGGGACTGGTACCACCTTTGCCCCTGCCTGGGGTGGTCCTAGATCCTTCCTGTTGTGAAGGAGAACCCTTAAATATATATTGCTGTTTTCTGTAGGCTGGTCCATGCAAGAAGTGGCTCTTCTAAAGCTGCCAGGCTGTGGAATGAAATTCTTCTTCACTTTATGTCATATTGCAAGCTTTTTCCACTTCAGCCTGACTTAGGATTGTTCTGGAAGAAGCTTGAAAGTATTCCTTTTACCTCTGACCTTTTTGCTTGGCTGTCTCTAGCCAGACAGGCTCTTCCAGTCTTTTCCAGCTGTCCCAGAGCTTTGATCTCTTGTGGCTAGGATGTGGTGTTTGGAAAATGACGCATGTGCTGTGCTCAAATGCCTCTCGCAGGAATAGTGTTAAGCAAAAATAACGTTTTGGCCAGGTGACTTCAGAAGTCTGTGGCTGTTTTGGATGGTGGCAGCTGATGGAAATAGGTATTCCTGGGACTCGTCGGCTTTTAACTGAAGCCGGGTGCATTGTAGCAAGAACAACTAGGTGCCAAAATGCCTTCAAACATATACAGTACAGCTTTCTGTTCTGTCATGCCCTTTTTGCTGCTTCGTTTTGATGCAGGAATCTTGACTAACTTGCATTGGGTTTGTTTGCTGGTAAAAGGAAGAACCTTTTTGTGTAGCTTTGCCGAAGGAATTATTACATAAGTTCTCTGTAAGCTCTCGCAAGGAGTGTTGTAAGAAATAGGCCTGGCAGGTGCTAGTAAATCCATACTCAGCTCCACGTTGCAGACCCCACTGTGGAGGGAAGTGCAAACCATAGCAATTCAGAATGCACTCCCTCCAGCTGCATTAGCCTCCCCCCATGCCAAATCTTAGAAAGATGGATTTTACTTCATCAGCCCAAGGTGTTTTCTTCCATCTGAAAGGAGGAGATTTGCAAGGTGGTATTTCTCATGTGACTTGCTTCTGCCAGATGCTCTGCTCGGCGCATGCCTGCCTCTGTCTCCAACATTCAGACTTGAAGCACAGGAATTGCTGTTAATACGTTGGATTTTCCCTTGTTACTTTCCTTTTGTGTCAAACAGCTTCCAAACCAAATCAGTGTGTCTTTGTGTGCAGAACTGCATTCACTTTGAGTGCAAAATGTTCACAGCTGTACTATTTATTAAGCTGAGCTTTTCTTTTGTACCATGAAAATAAAGTTTTGTGATGTGAAATGATACAGTTTTGCTTTGCCAAAGGTTCAGAAAGGACTTTTTTTCTCTGTGTATATAGCGTGTTTTGAGGGGGGAAGAACCTCTGTGTGGATTGTTTTGGAAAGGCCTTGACAGCAACAAAACCTCAAAGTTGAGGCAAATTCAGGACTCACTCATGAAAACTTGCTTTTGTTTGTCTGGAGTTTCCCTTGTTACAGACGGCTTTTTAATTTTTTTTTTTTGCCAGTCTATGACTTTAGCCAAGCCACTTAGTAGCGTATGGGTTTTTTGAGTGTCTCCCTTTCTCCCTCCTCTTGCTTACATGTAGCAAACTATTTTGTGGACTGTGGGTGCCTCAAATTCAGCCTTTTATTCCTTTAGTCTGACAAAAAAGTCTTATTTTGAAGAAGAAAGAAAAAAGATGCGGCTTAGTCAGAATTACATTTGAGTGTTAATACAGCCGGGTAAATGTGGGCCTTAGAAGCTAACTTGTTGCTCTAGAAGCATCGTTCAGACAAGATGAGATGTAACGCCTGCTGGCAGATATACAACCCCCCCTGGGATTTAGGCAGGGGAAAGAGAATGAAACAAGATGAGTAAGCAGACTGCAGAAAGCCCCCGGGGAAGGCTTGGTGCGAATTTTGAATTTGAACTCATGAACTTCTCGTGCGCTGACTGTACAGCCGCAGTTTGATGAGGAGCTGACTAAGACAAGGTATGCTTGGTAGGACTGGGGCTTAGACCAGGCCAGACCTCACTTTGCGTACCTGCTCTGATTCTTGGTGTTCGTTTCTCCTCAGGAGGTCAAGTGGTGAACCTCATGAACCAGCGCCTGCAGACAGGGTTCACGGAGAATGAGGTCCTGCAGATCTTCTGTGACACCTGTGAAGCTGTAGCCAGGTTGCATCAGTGTAAAACGCCAATAATCCACAGGGATTTGAAGGTGAGTTGTGGACTCTGGTAATACAGCAGGGAGCGTGCATCCTCCTTAACGTGTCTGCTGCCTACGCCAAGGCTTTGAATCCCGATACTGTGTTTCTGTTGTTAGTAATGAGGAGAAGTGGGCATGAATACCTCTCTCTATTGGAAGATAAAAAAAGAAATGAGCCTCTCATTGCTGCTTACCATATGTTTACCCTCTATAGATCTACTTAAAAAACACAAATGTTTGTGAATAATTCTGTTTTGCACAGGAGATGTGCCGGAATCTATCTGATGAATTATTCACAGTGACTTTCTACCACCTGAAATACTATTGATGTTATAAGGTAGTCCACAAAAAGCATGCTGTAAATTTGTTTCCTAGACCCACATTAAAAGGATCCAGAGATGTTGGCCTTGGGGCAGGAGTCGTTAGAAGCTTTTGAAACTGGCCTCTAACTCTCTGTTGACCATGAAAGTGCATTGTAAAACTCTGTGTGCTTAGCTGGGAACAGAGCTAGGCCAGTGGGGAGAGCTTTTGAAAAGTCCCATGCCTATAATGAAACAAACAAACAGAAAGACATACCCTTTCCTCTCAACTAGCTCATAAAATGCCTGAATAATATATTCAGCCAAGGAGGTGGCTCCTGTGTACATTTGAAATTCAGATGTGCTTTGTGAGTCAGGTTCTGTTTTCAGAGCCCTCAACAGGTGTTTGTTTTGTGCCGCTGGCCATTGTTTTAGAGGAGCAAAAGATGCCATGTGTGCCAACAAGAGCCAGGTAGCCCAGGGGAAAAAAGTCCTCAGGGTTTGGTGTGCTTGAGCACGTTTCAAATGATTGTGACCCCACTGCTCAGTCAGTTTGAATATGTGAAACAAGTCTGACATCTGTTTTTCCTAGAGTGAAATGGGTGGAGTCATAAATTTGAGGCCTGGGTTTAAAGCTGTTAAGGTCTGTGGGCATCTTGCAGGTCTTTGTGTAGGCAAGAAAGACTGGTGTGAGAGGATGAGGCTTAGGAACAGGAACCTCTACAGTTGCTGTTAACCCCTGCTGTCACCTTTTTGGTGAATCCCTGGGGTTTTTTAATAAAGAACAAACTCATTGTGTGGCCTGTGAATAAATTCTGGGACATCTGTGATGGATTAGTGAGTTGATCTTGAGCGTTACTTTCTACACTGAGTTGCAATTGAAATGGACTGTTACGGTCTGATGTCCAGCTCACTACTGCGTGTTTAGATCGGTAAAGTTTTTGCAAGGCCTGGCTCTTGGTTGGTAAGCTGTGCCCAAGGTCAGAGAGTTGGCTCTTCTCTGCTTTGAGACGTGTTTCCCCGTTGAATATTGTATTATTTCTGTCATGATGACGTCTGGAGCTCCAGTCACAATTGGGGATCTAAGTACTAACACAGAATGATTGATTTAGATAATGTTTTGACTTTATTTGAGTTGAAATTTAATAATGCCAAGGGGGAGCTGCAATTCCAAGAGAGATTAAGCACCAGAAGTTTTTTGTACAAGTTCTGAGTGTAAGGAAAGGCATCCATTGTGTAGGTGTTTTGTTGGGGTGAACATAAACCTGTTGAAGAGTGGGCAGATGTTGACTTTGCAGACAGCTGCATGGAGATTGGAGGCTTTTCTTGCCTTCCAGCTATTTGATGTTGCTCTAACACTGGAGGTTCCTGCCCAGAGAGCTCTGCCAGCAGAAAGGATCATGTGAATAGTCTTCACGCCCTTTCAGACACATGCAGCTGGATTAGTTTCAGCGGCCTGTGGCTGTGATTTTTGACTTAACCCAACAGGCTTTGCCTGAAGCAGAACAACCTCCTGTTGGCACAGTCTCCAACTGGTGGGAAGTGACCAACAGCTGGGGACAACAGCACCTTTAAGCAGCGTGTCTATAGGCAAAAGTGGACATCTCACTGCGAATAAAGGCCATGAAAAAGATAGTATGTTTGTTTATTAAGGTTTTCCTTCCTGATCTAATGGTTAACTCTCAGGTGCTGTGTCAGTCTGTCCCTGTGTGCTTACAGCTGCATGATGTGCTGTACAAGCTGTGATGTTTAGTTCCGTGTGCTTTGATTGGCTGCCAGTAGCGTCAAAAAGTAGTTGATGCTACTTTTTCCTAAAAATTAGGAAGCCCCTCATGTGCTGCCTCTGCCCTAGTTACACTGCCTCTACAGGGGTTCTAAGCGTACTGGCAGTAGGCTTGCCTTGCATGATCACCTTTGCTTGTTCTTGCAGATACTTTCCTTACCCTCAGGTTTCATAGGCCATTGCTGCTGCAGGGCATTCCCTAAAAAGTTTATTTTTGTCCTTCTCTCTCTGGAGTAAGAACACTTCCTATATCCTTAGGTTAGGCCTTTTAACAGCGAAGAACAAATGGCCAAACCTTCTTATGGCTATCTGTTATGTTACCCTGGCTGTGAAGACTCTGCTTCTAAGTTGGAATCTGGGCAGAGAAACTATAACTGTCAGATCCCAGAGGAGTAGGGTTTAGTGAGGTGGAGGGAGGGGAAAATCTATCTAGGGCTGATGATAACGATTTACACAACTACCCTATACCTAGTGGTAGTTGTTTGCATAACCTGTTTTATATTGAACCTTGTCTTTCCGGTCTCACATCCTATAACGCATGTCGTTCAAAGCACCAGCTTAGAGCCAGCTTTGATTTCTACAGCTTGGAGCTTTCTGCAGTGAGAGGTCTCCCACTTCTACCTGTGATGCTTCTGCTAGTCTGAACCCATCTGGTTCCAGGAACAGATGACTGGCTTGCAGATGAGTGGCTGAATTTTCTTGTAGTAGACACACAGCAGGATACAGCAAAATACTGTGTCAGTCAACCCAGAGGATGCTGTGG